GAAGGAAGGAAGGAAGGAAGGAAGGAAGGAAGGAAGGAAGGAAGGAAGGAAGGAAGGAAGGATGGAAGGAAAGAAGGAAGGAAAAGAAAAAGGAAAGAAAAAGAAAGAAGGAAGGAAGGAAAAGAAAAAGGAAAGAAAGAAAAAGAAAGAAGAACGGAAGGAAAGGAAGGAAGGAAGGATGGAAGGAAGGAAGGAAGGAAAAGAAAAAGGAAAGAAAAAGAAAGAAGGAAGGAAGGAAAGGAAGGAAGAAAAAGAAAAAGGAAAGAAAGAAAAAGAAGGACGGAAGGAAAGGAAGCAAGGAAGGAAGGAAGGAAGGAAAGAAAGAAAGAAAGAAAGAAAGAAAGAAAGAAAGAAAGAAAGAAAGAAAGAACAATTGGAAAGGATTAGAATTAGAATTAATAGAATAGAGTAGAGTAGAGTAGAGTAGAGTAGAGTAGAGTAGAGTAGAAAAATAGAATAGAAAAAAGGAATAGAATAGAACAGAACAACAGAACAGAATAGGAATAGGAACAGAATAGAATAACAGAGCTGGAAGGGACGTTGGAGGTCTTCTAGTCCAACCCCCTGCTTAGGCAGGAAACCCTGCACCACTTCAGACAAATGGCTATCCAACATCTTCTTAAAAAACTTCCAGTGTTGGAGCAGCCACAACTTCTGGTGGCCAGTCGTTCCACTGGTTAATTGTTCTAACTTTATCCAGGGGTCTCCCACTTCTATCAGGAAGCCAACCGAGTATCAGCTAATTCAGAAAAGCATGGGGGAGAAGCCCACCACTGGAAGCTTTCAAAGGGAGACTGGACTGCCGTTTGTCAGAAATGGTGTAGGGTCTCCTGCTTGGGGTCAGACTAGATGACCCGTAAGGTCCCTTCCGACTCTGTTAATCTAATCTGAACGGTGGATTTATTGGATAACATTTTTTCCCCCTCTAAACTACGATTCTTATTGCAGTGTTTCTCAACCTCGGGAACTTGTTAAGATGTGCGGACTTCAATTCCCAGAACTGGGGAATTCTGGGAGTTGAAGTCCACATGCCTTAACATTCTCAAAGTTGTGTGTGTGGGGGGGGGTTAAATTTAATTTAATTTAATGATTTAAAGCTTCTTCCTCATTTACATAAACATCTCAGCCGTCGTTTAGTCTCGGTTTCCGAAATCTGCAAACGTGGTTTGATGCCGCCAAGATCTTAATTCAGGAATCGTGTGTGCTTTATGAACCAGTGGAGACCAGCTTTTTTTCCGGGCCTGCAAGATGCTAGATTACCACTAGAGGGCAGCAAAGTACTGGAGATTTTTTGAGGGGGGATCTCCTTGCTGCCTCCCTGTGGTTATCTACATATCTTGCAATCCCAGATTTAAAAAAACCTTTAAAGGAGGCAGAGCAGAATAGCTATATTTGCCTTAATGCTTTAAGAACTAATAATCTATAGCAGGGGTCTCCAACCTTGGCAACTTTAAGACTTGTGGACTTCAACTCCAAGAATTCCTCAGCCAGCGATGCTGGCTGAGGAATTCTGGGAGTTGAAATCCACAAGTCTTAAAGTTGCCAAGGTTGGAGACCCCTGGCAAATTGTAGGATAATGCCGATGTTAAGCCCAGATGTGCTTTATGTGGGCTTGTGATCTATATATAAACAGTGCCTTATGGCTTAGCATATATGGTTCAAATATTCCCCAGCCCAGGGGCTTATTCAGTAGATCGCAGTTAAACAAACCAGAACTTAATATCCTCTACGCATCCCGTCCAAAACAGAAAGATACGCAGCCATAACATTTCAATTTTTTTGATATGACGACAGCCGTACAATAACACCCCCCCCTTCCTGTACGATCAACCCCACCCGGGCAGGAAAAGCTGATGATTCGAGATCGTTTTCTGCGGAGTTGCGGAGAAATAATGTACAGTTACCGATACACCCTGATAGGACCATAGGGTTGAGGTGTTGGCGTGTGTCACGAAAACCACTTGTGCAAAGGTGAACCCTATTTAAGAGGGGCGCGGCGCCCTAGGGGTGGAGCTCTCGCCTCACAACCAGGTTCGATCCTAGGTAGAGGCAGATATTTCTCTCTCTGGCTACAATGGGAATTTATCTGCCGAACAAAACTCCGTACTGGTGACAGGGGACGGCATCCGGCCACTAAACATAGCTCCATTCAGTTGCCCAGACTCCGCCCCACAAGAGATTGTGGGGTTGTTAAAAGAAGTTGATGATGAAAGGCGACTGATCTTATTTAAACTACAGATCTGAATCCCACCCCCCCAAAGAATCTCTTCTTTGCAAGTGGACTTCGGGGGCTATCAAAATTAAGAATACCCACATATAATTTGGACCGGAGGAATTGTGCGCACATGTTTCTTTACTCTAACATGCCAGTCCGGGTTCTTCTTTCCAAAAGGGATGGGGCCAGGAGTGAAATTCAGTTGGTTCTAACCGGTTCAGGAGAACCGGTAGCGGAAATTTTGAGCAGTTCAGAGAACCGGCAAATACTACCTCTGGCTGACCCCAGAAGTAGGGTGGGAATGGAGATTTTGTGGTATCCTTCCCCTGGAGTGGGGAGGGAACGGAGATTTTGCAGTATCCTTCCCCTGGAGTGGGGTGGGGATGGAGATTTTGCAATATCCTTCCCCTGGAGCGGGGAGGGAATGGAGATTTTGCAGTATCCTTCCCCTGGAGTGGGGTGGGGATGGAGATTATGCATTATCCTTCCCCCTGGAGTGGGGAGGGAATGGAGATTTTGCAGTATCCTTCCCCTGGAGTGGGGTGGGGATGGAGATTATGCATTATCCTTCCCCCTGGAGTGGGGAGGGAATGGAGATTTTGCAGTATCCTTCCCCTGGAGTGGGGTGGGGATGGAGATTTTGCAGTATCCTTCCCCTGGAGTGGGGAGGGATTGGAGATTTTGCAGTATCCTTCCCCTGGAGTGGGGAGGGAATGGAGATTTTGCAGTATCCTTCCCCTGGAGTGGGGTGGGGATGGAGATTATGCATTATCCTTCCCCCTGGAGTGGGGAGGGAATGGAGATTTTGCAGTATCCTTCCCCTGCACACCAAGCCACGCCATGCACACCAAGCCACGCCCACAGAATCAGTAGTAAAAATATTTGCATTTCACCACTGGGAAATCTGGACGCTTCTCCAACATAATAGCTTAGAATAGCGCTGGGGCCTTCTGCAGATGTCAAGCTGTGTCCTTCTGTTGTGTTTGGAATTACAGTTGAATCCCCAGGAATCCATACGGCAGTGTAAAAATAAATAAACCCTCAACAAACCTTGCGAAAGATGCACGAAATCTGCAGGACGTCTTATGAAGCCGTGTTTCTTAACCTTGATAACTTGAAGATGGGCGGACTTCAATTCCCAGCATTCCCCAACCAGCCAGCTAAGATGACTGGGGAATTTTGGGAGTTGAAGTCTGCACATCTTCAATAGCAATAGCTCTTAGACTTATATACCGCTTTACAGTGCTTTTACAACCCTCTCTAAGTGGTTTACAGAGACAACATATTGCCCCCAGCAGTCTAGGTCCTCACTTTACCGACCTCGGAAGGACGGAAGGCTGAGTCAACCTTGAGCCTGGTGAGATTCGAACTGTCAAATTGCAGGCAGCCGGCAGGCAGGCAGACGTAGCCTGCAGTACTGCACTCTAACCACTGTGCCACCACGGTTCTTATGCCGAGTGGCCAAGGTTGACAGACACAATTATGAATGAAAAGTAACTTCCCTTCCCATAGATCAGATTTTAGAAGACAAATTTGGGAATATCTTAATTTAAAAACAAAAATACCTAAATCTAAAAGAATTTGCCTCAAATCTAAAAGAACTCGCCTGCGCCGGGCAGGCAAAAGTATTCTTAAAAACTCTTTGTGGTCATTCTTGCCCAGAATTATAAAATAATTCGAATCACAGGGATGTGTTTGGAGAGAAAAAAATAAAGCTTCCTTCTCAAAGCTTTTTGGGTGGACTTAGCCAAACTCAGATGGCTTAAACTAAGCCAATCCAATGGTTGGGGACTCACAGGATGTGGTGCAACCCTGCTTTTGACGTTCCCAAACCATAATCTACAGCTCAGCTTTGTTGTGCATATTCAGCCTTCAGTGGTTTACTCCGCCCGCAATAGGATTTTCCCATATGCAGGCTGTTGTTTGCCGATGCTGACCGACAATAGGAGTTACAAGGAGATTCCCAAGGCCAGCAGAAAGAAGATGAGCTCGCAGTCAGAACGGTAGCTTCTTCCAGCCCATTCTGAGTCCACCCCCACCCCCCCTACTCTTTTTTGGCCGGGCCCGCCAGCGAGCGCCAACAAGCGGCGATCCCCTCCGAGTGATGGTACACGAGGACGCCCAGCAGGGTGAGGGCGATGCCCACATAGCTCAGCCAAGTCAGGTGGCTTCCGAACAGCCAGCGGGAGAGGAGCAGGTTCCCCACCACGTTGAAGTTCCCCAGGACGTGGATGGTGAGGGCGGAGGTCAGCGAGAGGATGCAGAAGCTGGACAGGTTGTAAAGGACCGAGCCCAGGCAGCTGAGCAGCACGCAGTTCCAGAGGCTGGCCTCGTAGGTCAATAGGCCCTCCCAGGCTGAGCCCACCTCCATGCCCAGCGCGGCTACAAAGAGAAGGCAGAAGCTGGGCAGCGAAGTCAAGCACAGGAGCCTCAAGGAATCCAGCTGCTCCTCCTGCAGAAGGATACCTGTAGGTGGGCAGACAAGGAGAGGATCAGCAAAGCTTCAGGGTCTTTGGGGGCAAACGAAAATGTTACAACAAGAAATAGAATTCAGACCATTTTTACTAGGCGTTATCCCAGAGAAACGTACTTATTTGATTGTACATGTTAACTACAGCAGCGAGAATTGTATTTACCCCAAACTGGAAATGAAATAAGTTACCAACAGATGGAAGAGATAATAATAAAAAAAAAAAGATACTAGATTGTGGAGAGATGAAACAGGTTGACAGTGAAAATAAAGGATAAAGAGGAATCGATGTACTTCAAGACATGGGGAAGATTTTATGATTGGCTAGAGAAAGGAAGCTAGAAAAGAAAGGAGGAGATAGAGAACCCAGATGATGCACTATTAAATGAAAGGAGGGGGGAGAGGGGGAAAACAGAAAAGAAAATATTAAATACACAAGCATGTATTCAAGAGCAAGATATAAAGCGTTGGGGAAACATAGGATAGATTAGCGAAGGTAGGGGAATAAGAAATGATGCTAAATTATATATCTATATCATTTATATAGATAAATGACATAGGTGATAGATGGATGGATGGATGGAGACATAGATAGATGATAGGTAGTAGGTAGGTAGATAAATAGATACGTAGGTAGGTAGGTAGGTAGGTAGGTAGATAAAAAGATAGATAGGTAGGTAGGTAGGTAGATAAATAGATATGTAGGTAGGTAGATAAATAGATAGATAGATAGTAGGGAGGTAGGTAGATAGATAAATAGATAGGTAGGTAGATAAATAGATAGGTAGGTAGATAAATAGATAGATAGATAGGTAGTAGGTAGGTAGGTAGGTAGGTAGGTAGGTAGGTAGGTAGATAAATAGATATGTAGGTAGGTAGATAAATAGATAGATAGATATGTAGGTAGGTAGATAAATAGATAGA